GTGTCCCGAACAGTATTCAAGAAGAATCCGAAATATCGATCCGAGGAGGTTCTGACCAGTTGGCAATGATTCCGATATCACCGCTTCGCATAGATTCTGTACGATTTGCACCTGCAGCCAAAGAAAATGCAATTGATGCAACGCATTCAGCATCTCAACAACATCTGCATTTGGAATTTGGAATTCGATGGCTGCCACCAGAGATATTGACTGACGACTTGGAAAAAGCTATCGACAGAACGCGTCTCTTACGAAACCAAAGATAAAGAATATCGATGCTGTATAATCTTTCATGCTTCAGGCAATTTTATATTGGTCTCTTATAAATACGCAAAAGGATAAATTTACTTTAACTGTACCCCACCCCCTATTACCTGATTAGAACAGAACAGCGCATTTACATATATTAATTTCATCACCCCCCGCACTCATGCAATGTATGACACAAGGCCATTTTAAACGTACGGTTAAAAATGCATGCGTTTGGGCCAACGGTAATAAGTCACTGTGGCGCTGTCGTCGATATTACGCCGACCCCACCCTCCACCAATGCAATAAAGGAAGTGCTTTCACAGGGTTGGAATCCACGGGATTGGGCGCTTTTTTCTACCTCAACTGAGGGAAAAACTATGTTTTCATTCCGGCCGAAAGAATTCATTAAAAAAAAAAGAAGACTTCTTATATGATCGAAAGATATTATAGCGATTTAAGATCTGGTACAAGGCCGAAAGTACAGAGCATCCAGTAAGGATCGAACTCCCTACGAGATAACCTTGCTAACCATTATACAATGTTAAAATGGCACATTTATTGTCAACTTTATATATATTATTCACCATACATAAGCAATACTATCTAATAATTCTCCTTATTATTATTACCGCTATTTTAGTAGTTACACGTGTTTGAATCGCTGTCCCTTTTTCAATGTTCTTAACATCTTAAATATGCTTACAAAGTAAAATAATGGTAAGGGTAGCAAGAAAAAATGTCGAAATAAAAAAATCCATTTAAAAATAACTATTTTTCAATTAATATTTTTGTTGTGATGATATAACCCAACTTCCCCATTCACGATAATGGACGGACTGGTTGCTGATTAAGTACGACCACAGCGGACAGTCAAGAGGTATTCGTTTGTTAACACCTATTGAGGTTAGCATACTCCCGACTCTGTCTCTGTATTTGACACACCTACATCCGACTATAAGCCTATTATTGAAACCCAACACTCGTGTTACTTTGTTTATTATATCTTGCACGAGATATAACAGCTGGCGGCGAAGATTGTGCAACGTACTTACCTAAATAAAAAAAAAATGTATATATATATATATATCAGATTACGCTGAACGGATTTCGGAAGCAGATTCGCAAGTCAAAGATATCAGTTGACGCCGATTAGTATTTCGAAAGCGGAGTCACAAGTCAAAAGGAAACTTTTTGAAAAGTAAGAAACTTTTTACTGTTAAATTGTGATTTGAAAAATATATATTGAACCGCGACTCAAATACGAGCCGGTCTAATAATTGATTGTTCAAGTAAAAATTACGGGTTGTAAAAATATTACGGCTGTAAATTGTCTGTTAACCGTCTAAAAAAAAAAAAAAAAAAATTTTTTTTTTTTTTGTCGAATTCTAAATAAAGTCAGGATGGAGCAATTAGTCGAAATGACTAAAATGCTGTGTACAAGCTTGCAACAGCAACAACAACAGCATCAAGAGTTACAACAACAGCAACAACAGCATCAAGACTTACAACAACAAATACTGCAACAGCAAAAAAGTCTCGAAAAAATTCTGAAACAGGCGACTGGAGAAAGAAAAAATGCTGTTTTTTTTCTGCCGAAGGAATAGCAAATTCATTATCCGAATTTATTTATGAACCTGATTCGGGCATTACATTTCCAGCATACTTTAAACTTTTCGAAACTATATTTACCAAGAGATGTCAACATTGGTCGGATGAGGAACGAGTAACATTATTAGTCCAGAAACTAGGGACAAACGAGAATAGGAAGTACTCAAACTTGATATTGCCCAGAAAGCCAGAAGAAGTTTCGTTTGAAGAAACTATAAGTATTCTGTCAAATATTTGACGAAAGGAATAGTCTGTTCCACACGCGATACAGATGCCTAAACATCGTTAAAGCAGATAACGAGGATTTTGTGACATACGCGGGAACAGTGAACTCTCTGGTTGAACAATTCAAGTTAGAAGAAATAACGAAAGATGTATTCAAGTGCCTAATTTTTCTTCAAGGACTAACTGATCCTAAATATAAAGAAATTAGGTCGAGAATATTAATAATGGTCGAGCAAGACTCGAAAATAACATTACAAAGGGTGACCGAAGAATGCCAACGTCTCATAAACGTAAAAAGGGATAATACACAAATTGAGGAAAAAAGTGTTGCTAATGTTCGACACGTAAAAACTCGAAAAACTCCAAAAGCCAAAAAGATAGAAAAATGTAAGACGTGTGGAAAAAATAACCATACCAAAGACACGTGTTGGTACAAAAATAAATTCTGTCAATCGTGCGGAAATAAAGGGCATAAATCTTCGTTTGCCGCAAGAAAAGGAAATTACAAGATGTAAGCCTGGTATTATCAGAAAAAGAAATTCAGGAAGGTAAAAATAGAAAGTACGTAGATGTACGTATAAATAATCATACAATTACTTTCCTATTGGATTCTGGTTCAGGCATAAGCATCATTGATGAACAAACATGGAAAAATATTGGAAGACCTAAATTATCTGAAACCAAAAAAAACCGCTAGAGGGGTTTCAGGAAAGAAATTAAACTTTAAGGGAGAATTAAAGTGCGATATTTCGTTATGTGGCAAGACTGCAAAAACGAAAGTGTATGTAATCCAAGGGATTAATTCATGTCTTTTTGGAATAGACTGGATAGTACTCTTTGATTTGTTTGAACTCCCGATTAACTCATTTTGCAACGTAATAAACAGTGCAGAAAAACAAAAAAGTATTAAAAATGAAAAATTCATGATTGAATTAAAAGAAGAATATCCCAGAGTTTTTTTTTCTGAGGGATTGGGTTTATGTACTAAGACGGAAGTCAAATTTGAACTCAAGGAAAATGTGAAACCAATTTTTAAACCTAAGAGAAACGTTCCTTTTTCCTCCTTAGAGACAATTAATAAGGAATTGGAAAGGCTTGAAAGAATGGGAGTGATATCTAAGGTTGACCATGCGGATTGGGCCTCGCCCACAGTTTATGTTAAGAAGAAAAACGGAAAAATAAGAGTGTGCGCAGATTTTTCAAAAGGGTTAAATGATTGCCTTAAGAATCACAGTTATCACCAGAAGATATTTTTTTCAAAATTGAATGGTGGGAAGATTTTTTCAAAATTGAATGGTGGGAAGATTTTTTCAAAAATCGACCTGTCTGACGCATACTTGCAGATTAAAGTGAGTGACGAATGCTCAAAATATTTGTGTATAAATACACATAAAGGTATTTATAAGCTAAATAGGCTTCCTTTCGGCTTAAAGGTCGCCCCAGCTTTGTTTCAACAGGTGATGGACACTATGCTGGCAGGCTTTGAGTTTGGTACCGCCTATTTAGATGATATTCTAGTCAAAAGTAAGAATGTTCAAGAACATAAAACGCACATCAGAGCGATATTCAAAAAACTAGAAGATTTTGGTTTTAAATTAAGCCACGAGAACTGTAAATTCTTCATGGAAAGAATTACACACCTCGGACAGGTAATAGACAGTGAAGGCAGGAAACCGGACCCACAGAGAGCCGATGCAATTAAGAACATGCCTGCACCCGACACAGTTGCGAAACTAGAATCGTTTCTGGGGTTGGCACAATATTATGCAATCTACATACCTAAAATGTATGATTTCAGAGCCCACCTTAACGAATTGTTGAAAAAAGACAAGAAATGGTTTGGGTCAAAAGATTGCGAGACGGGTTTTCAGAAAATAAAAAAATGCCTACTCTCAGATCTCGCCTTAGCACATTATGATCCTGAGAAAGATATCATTCTGGCAACTGACGCAAGTTTGTACGGAGTGGGTGTTGCACTGCTACACAAATATGAAGATGGCACTACTAAACCGGCTGAAAAAATTTATAGCCAGATCGAGAAAGAGGCTTTGTCGATTGTGTTCGGGGTTAAAAAATACCATCGCTTTTTACATGGTAGATCATTTGTACTTCAAACGGACCATAAACCGTTACTTACAATATTTGGAGGTAAAAAAGGCATTCCTACGCATACAGCTAATCTCTTACGGCGATGGAGTGTAACCCTGCTTAATTACCATTTTAGGATGGAATACGTCAAATCTAAAGAACATGGGCATGCGGATGGATTGTCAAGGCTGATTCCAAAAAAGAAATGTTAGAAGAGACGGTTAGAGCAGCATTAACTGAGGAAAAAGAAATATCAGGTCTCTTGTTGAATACAACCAGGGAATTGCCGGTAACTTTGGACCAAATAAAAAAGAAGCGGAAAAAGATCACTATATTTTGAAATTAAGGAACCAGACGAGATGGAACAAAAGACAGAAAAAGGGAACTCAGATTTCACCTTTTTCCATTTGCGACAACACGTTGATGTACGCAGATAGAATTGTTATACCTCAATCTCTACGTACAGATATGCTGAAAGAATTTCATACCGGTCATCCTGGAATGTCTCGAATGAAATCACTCTTGCGTGGTTACGTATACTGGCCAGGAATGGACAAGGATATTGAAGGTTTTGTAAGACTATGTAGAGGTTGTCAATTGGCTGCAAGGGCACCTCCGCTTAAAATGAATCCTTGGCCGAAAACGGATTTGCCGTGGGCACGTCTACATATAGACTATGCTGGACCAATTAATGGGTACTATTATTTAATATTGGTGGACTCTTTATCGAAATGGCCTGAGGTAGTCAAGTGCAAGCATCCTACATCTAGGAACACCATCAGTGCATTGGATGAAATTTTCAGTCGTTTCGGGGTTCCCAGGACATTGGTTAGCGACAATGGTACGGCGTTCACAAGTATGGAGTTTAAGGATTTCTGTACTGCCTTAGACAATGAACACATAACTACACCAGTGTGTCATCCCAGGTCGAACGATCAAGCCGAGAAAATTGTTGACACCTTTAAACGTGCTTTACGTAAAAATAAAGGTATGGACACAGAAGAAAGAACTATTCAGAAGTTCTTAGCAATCTATAGGGTAACT